CCATGTCAGCAACAGGCCCCAAGAGCAGAAGAAAGCCTTTGAAACGGTTGCTACCACAATGGAAGAAAGTTGTCAGTGATGAAGTCCCTTTAGGCTAAGGCAAGAAGACGTCAGGCCTGAACCCTTCCTCACTATGAATGTGGGTTCATGGAATAAGAAGTAGCTTAGGAAGGGGCCTCTGCTGGGACTATGCCCTCACTACTAGATAGATGCACTAGATGTGACATTGCCCTCTCCTGGAGACAGGGGATCATATTCACCTCCCACACCCTGTGAAATTCCTGAACCAGCACTGACCATCTGGAACTCTTGGTCTGATCGACAAACTCCAGCTTGAGAACAAGCTCTATTTTCTTTCTTTTTCTTTTCTTTCTTTTTTCTTTCTTTCTTTCTTTCTTTCTTTTTTTTTTTTGAGACAGAGTCTCACTATGTCACCCTTGGTAGAGTGCTGTGGCATCACAGCTCACAGCAACCTCCAACTCTTGGGCTTAGTCAATTCTCTTGCCTCAGCCTCCCAAGTAGCTGGGACTACAAGTGCCTGCCACAACACCCAGCTATTTTTTGGCCTAGGCTGGATTTGAACCTGCCAGCTCCAGTGTATGTGGCTGGCACCCTAGCTGCCTGAGCTACAGGCGCTGAGCCATTTTCCTTTTTTTTTTTGAGATGGAATCTCAAGCTGTCGCCCTGGGTAGAGTGCTGTCGAGTCATAGCTCACAGTAATCTTCAACTCTTGGGCTCAAGCAATCCTCCTGCCTCAGTTTTTCTTTTTTTTAGTAGAGATGGGGTCTCATTTTGGTCAGGCTTGTTTCTAATTCGTGAGCTCAAGCAATCCACCTGCCTCGGCCTCCCAGAGTGCTAGGATTACAAGCATGAGCCACTGCACTCAGCCTGTCTTCTTTTTGTTCCTGTGTGGATGGGATGTATGTTATATGGAACTCTATAATAATTATGCAAAGAGAGAACGATTCAGAAAATCCTATCTCAACCAAACCTGGCTATAAAAAATATCATCTTGCTAGAAAACCTTATTTTGGACATGAAAAGCAAAACATAACTCTTTCTCTTTGCATTCCTGTTGTGAAAATCCTGATTATTTTTTAGATAATATTGATGCATCTGGCTGAATGGAGGGGAAACTGGAAAAAGAAAAAAAGCACCTGAATATATTTCCTGTTAATAAGCACATTAGTTTTAAGAGGAAACAGCTGTAATTGGTTATGATAACGGTTTTGGTTCCGCAGCATCTTTCTGGATTTGAACCTGTCCCCATCTCATAAGCATCATTTTGAAGTAAACAGAATGACTGGTTTGGAAAATAGTTTATCTACCATGTCATACTATGACTCTAGCCCAGGGGTCAGCAAACTTTCTCTGTAAGGGGCTGGAGAGCAAATTTTTTTTTAGCTTTTGTGGATCGTATGGTTTCTGTTGCAATTACTCGGTTCTGCTTTCATAGCCCCACAGCAGCCATAGACATACAGCATGTAAATGAATGAGTGTGACAGTGTTCCAATAAGATTTTATTTACAAAAACAGATAGATATTTATAAAAACAGGCCAGATTTGGCTCTACAGGTTGTATGTAGTCTGCTGACCCTGATCAGAAATTAACCAGAAAGAGTTAAGTCTAATTCCCACATGAGAGGTAACTGTTGATCCCCCTACTACATTGATACTGTGTTAAACACTACAGGGAGACAGAGACCCCAAATGCATGCCCTGGTGAGGCACATCCACGGCAAGAGAAGCTATAATGAAGAACTTAGGTTCTTTTTCTTTTCTCTTCTATTTTTTTTTTTTTTTTGAGAAAGTCTTGCTTTGTCACCCACGCTAGGGTGCAATTATGTCTTTATAGCACACAACAACCTCAAACTCCTGGTCTTAAGTAATCCTCCTGCCTCAGCCTCCCAAGTAGCTGGGCTACAGGTGTGTACCACTATGCCTGACTAATTTTTTTCTTTCTTTCTTTCTTTCTTTTTTGTAGTTTTTGGCGGGGACTGGGTTTGAACACACCACCTCCGGCATATGGGGCTGACGCCCTACTCCTTTGAGCCACAGGCGCCGCCTAATTTTTTCTAATTTTAGTAGAGGAGGAATCTCATTTTTGCTTAGGCTGATCTTGAACTCCTGTCTTCAAGTGATCTTCTGCCTCAGTCTTCCAGGTGTGAGCCACCACACCAGGCCAAGAATGAGCTTCTTTTTTTTTTAGCTAGAGTCTTACTCTGTCACCCTGGGGTTGAGTGCTGTGGCATCATAGCTCACAGCTACCTCAGACTCCTGGGCTCTAGCAATCCTCTTGCCTCATCCTCCTGTAGTTAGGACTATAGGCGCCTGCCACAACGCCCGGCTACTTTTGGTAGAGACCGAATCTTGCTCTTCCTCAGGCTGGTCTCAAACTCCTGAGCTTAAACAATCCCCTGCCTGGGCCTCTCAGAGTGCCAGGATTATAGGTGTGACACTGGCCAGCCAGTGAGTCCTCTGACATTTGGCTGTGGTACTGAAACTGCACCCTCATGCAGGTTATTCAGTCTAGATGGAATGGTTTCTATTTCTCTTTACTGCTTGGGTGGTTTTGGTTGTAAAGCCCAAGGGGCATTTTTAGGGAAACTGTCTCTTGGGAGGTATATTTTAGAACACACTTGAACTTGTAGATAACTAAACATCCAGAGTGATTCAGACTAGTCTAAGTCTGATTTCATGGGAAAGAAGACCTATAGTGAGACCCTAAGAATCTTGCTCTGTCAGAGGAGCAAAGCGTTGTTGTAGGATTCTGAAGAAGCCAGTAATAAGAAGATCCCTTAATTTTGAATAGTGGGAAAAGCCTAGGGTGAAAGCTAGGTAACCTGGGCTGCTCTCCGTGTGCTAAGTCACTGTGTGTACTTAGGCAAGTCACTTAACTTCTCTGGGTTATATATATTCTCCTTTAGGAAGAGTAAAGCTGTTGAAAGAGTTGATTCCTATGATCCTTCCAGTTTTTCTTTTCTTTTCTTTTCTTTTTTTTTTTTGAGACAGAATCTCACTTTGTTGCCCTCAGGGAAGTGCCATGGCGTCATAGCTCACAGCAACCTCTAAC